CAAATCTGGAACAACTTCCAGAAAACTGCAAAACTGCCGAAACACTGAGTTCCTCTAAATCGAGACTAAATACTAACCTATTTAGAACTGCCTTTGATTAATAGTAAATGAACACTGATCAATACATTTGCTGGATGATTTTCATTTCAACAAAATGGAATGTTTATTTCATATTTCATAAGTGGTGACTGTTTTATGTTTTCATGATGTAAATCACTTTGAACTGCCTTTTTGCTGAAATGTTCCATACAAATAAACTTGACTTAAACTTTACTAACCCTCACTAGTCTTACTCTAAACCAACCATTGCAGGTAAATGCCTCATGCTGGTCCCCACAACACAGTATGTGCAAGGAAAATGGTCAAAAACAAGGCCACACACACACACACACACACACACACACACACACATTGTGTGTCTCTCTCATGCCAGACACAGCTGTGAGCATTTACATTTTGGTGGTAATCTCTCGGCTCTCCTCATAGACACGTGTTATCCATGACTGTGAGCCCTGCAGCCCCCAGTAAAAACACATTAATGTTCATTTAAACAGTACAAGCCTTTCAGTTGGAGCCTGAGGGCCACTATCATCTCTGCACAGCTGGATGGTCACTACATTCAGAGATACAGTTTAACTCACACACACTGCAGACGCTGGTGATGCCATTTTTTTCTTTTTTTTAAATAATTTTTTGCTGTCAAGATAGTCATGATTGAACTGTGCTGTTAAGGTTTTTCTAAATGATTTATTCTTAATTTATTTATTGATTTATGAAACAAATACACATTGAGCAACTTCTATTTTAAAAATTGTTTTGATCTTGAACTATCAGCACCTTTTACCACGTACTTTTACTCTGACTTGATTATTTTTTTTTGAATGGCTACTTTTTTTTTTTTTTTAGCTTTACTTGAGTAAAAATATTCTGTAGTAGTACTTGATTACAGTATTTTGGATTCTCTCCCCACCTCTACAAGAGACAAAAGTTGGACAGAAATCTTAATAACTGGACCTCATTGAGTTTGAATTAAATACCAATGGAATAAAATACAAATACAAATTGGGATAGCCCAATTCAATGGCGCCCTGTCCGATAATGGATGACGTCGAGGCGGTGGCTGAGGGGGATCCTGTGTTTACGGTGCGCGGGCCCTTTAAGAGAGTCCCGTGTTTCCATTGGCACGGTGACGTCAGAGCAGCGAAGGACTTCAGCCTATCCTCTGCTAACGGTGAAGGCTACGGTCCTGGCACGGCGTCCAGCTTCAGGAGGGGGAGTTTTTTACACAGCTCAAAAAGGTTGGAAAGCCTTCCCCGCTGAAGCCATCCAGGCGCTCACCGTGGATTAAAACGGGAAACTTTTCACGATGGCCCTGAGCGTGGAAAAGTAGCGCGAGACGCAGCCGCCGCCGCCGCAGAACACGGAGCCTCTGTCACCGCAAGCAACAACTCCTGGTTAGATGCACGACCACTGCTGAGGAGAGAGGAGAAAAAAAATATGCTCCAGCCGAGCCTCCGCAGCAGCAACAACCCCGGCTTCAAGCGCAGGTTCCCCGCGTTTTAACCGCTTTCCTGAACACAGCCGTCGACCCTCCTCCTGGTTCGTTTCAAGCGCCTCTTTGAGCCTACAAAGTCCGCCGTCAGAGTCTCCCCTGCCGAGCCTCCTGCACCCGGAGAACCATGATGGCAAGAAGGACAGCAGAGCTGGGCGCAAAAATACTGCTGGTGACAGCCAACGTTGGATCCCTGTTCGAAGATGTGAGTGTCTCTGTTGATAAACACACTCAGTGGTTTTTGTTCCCCCCCCCCCCACGCAGTCCACGCTGTGTCCAGGTTATGCTACATAACGTGTGATGTTGTCACGACTCGGACCGTTATAGTGTCACCTATATAGGCGTCGCCGGTTTCCCAGGACACATGTCCCAGGATGTACATGCACTCTGGTAAATAAAATGTTGCGACATTTGAAGAAAAAAGCATGTAGAAATCTACTTTAAATATAAATCTTGTAGCTTAAGTAGAATATATATGCAGTAGCTCTATGCTTCTGCAAATAAGTCGCTAAAATGTACACTAACCGTTCAGATAAATGTAGAGTATGGATATCCAAAAGAAGACATATAGCTTAAGAATTAGACCACATTTAATACAAATTTTAAGAAGTAATCAAACCTTTTCTTTCCATTTCTATACCTGGTCTAGCTGTTTTGAATGTTTTTGTGGGTTTGCGGTATGATTAGGCGATATGGATTTAAAGTTATTGCGATATTTTGTGGTATAATTGATAAAAGTGACGACACAAACTATTTAATTGTTTTAGTTAACTGGCTGTGAGTGCAATGCAGCCTCACAAGAACAAATACTGCTCTTAGAAAGCATAGCATTTGTAATATGCTTCTTTAAAAAAGTGTGTTTACTATCACTAAAATGCACACATTTAACCATATGCTCATATTTATTGAAACATCTTTATTGATCAAATAGTGGAGAAAAATTCTAAACATAACAAACTTGAGCATATGGACAGTTTTAGGGGGTTTTAAACATCATAGATCAGAACTTATTGTGACAACAATAAATCAAAATCTTATCATGATAAGAAATTTATCACAATAAATGGTAGACGATACAGTTTTCAGCATATTGACAATATGTGACACTGGTAAACTCAATTTATACATTAAGATAGTTTAAAAAAGGAAATAACTTTTAAGCAACATTATACATCACTCTGAAGACACTAGTGAAACAAAAACATTTTTTTTGTATTTTAGATTTATCTGCTCAAATATAAATTAAATTTGTATTAAATCTGTATATTTTTAAGGGGTTCAAACTGTTGCTTTATTAAAAAAAACAGACAGGCAATATTCCATATTTTCTTGCTTCATCTTTTATTTTCTTATTTTTTACCACTCTTGACTTATGGTCTGGGGACGAATAAAATCATGTCAAGGGCCACAAATGACCCCCGACCCACAGCTTAGACCA